CTGGTAAAAGTTCTTTGATGTGAGGAATGTCCCAGCCTGGTACAGTTGGCAAAAGTTCACTCCGGGGAATTTTGTGTGTGTGTGTGTGTGTGTGTGTGTGCGCATGCATGCATATGTGTGTCTGTCTGTCTGTCTCTTGGGAAAGGGCGGTTGCCGAAGAAGAGAGCTAGTCTGGTATTCCTTGATTCCAGAAAGGAATTGTCCCTCTTGGTTTATTTTCACAAGTTATCGGAGGAACAGACAAATGGCAGCCTTGGAAAAGTTCTGGGTCTTGTTTTTGTTTTGTTTTTTCATTAAAAGGGGGCCCAGCTGATGAAAACAAGTTATGAAATGACCTGTGTTTGTGCAACTGGCCGATTGCGTAACGCTCAGGCCCTGAAACCGTAATAGTCAGGCAGCCAGGCAGGGCATATATCTGGGAGGTGTTTTCCTAGGAAAGTTAGAAGAGAGAGAAAACAACAACAATAAACAGAAAAGACCAGGAGGGGGAAGTGTGTGCAACGATTACAGACAAAACAAAATCACCAATGACCAACCTTTTAGATTAAAACTATAACTGGAACAGGAAATATTTTTCATGCTTGGAGTTCCTGCCATATACAAGAAGAGTGGTTTTAACCAAGAGTTATCTGCCCCCCCCCCCACCCCTCCAAAGTCCCTGGAACTCACGGCCATGTGTTAAAATCAAGCTTTATTAAGCTAGAGAGAAGTTCTGGGTTGAATAGACAGCAACAAACTTATTGGGAATATCAGGCCCCACAAACAAACAGATGAGGAAAATATAATATTCACTGGCCCAAGGGAAAACCAGAGAACCCTCTTTTCTTACACCGACTGGTCCATGGAGACGCCACAAAGGTGGAAGGCCCGGCACTAAATGCCAGGAAAGCCTCCCCGCAAAGGAAGCTGAGAGAAATAAAGTCATTACAAGTTGTATCTGGTATGTAATAAAGTTACCTTGAGCCCAAGAGATCCGGTGGGAGATCGGGTGGGGTCCTAGCGCAGACTTGTGAAGTAACAAAAGCCTCTCAAGTCAGTCCTAAGGACCACAGAACAGCTTTGCTCCAAGTTGGAGAGATGATGGAAAAACCTTCCCCCCGTCCACCCCCTCCCCAGGAGTGGACAGGCTGAGAAACTTGTCCAAAGCCGCATTACCTTGCCAATCCCTCTGCTTTGAAAGGCACCTCACTCAAGCTGCAGGGCCAAACAGGCAGGCGTATATGCAAGAAGCCCGTGCACCAGTTATTACTAATTGCAAAATCCTCATGTGTTACAGCATGCTAGGAATTAGCCCACAGCTGCTTTTTGCTTCGGTAATGAGGCCCCATTACACCCTGCTGGACTGAGTTCTCTTCCTTCTTCCTAGCACTGGTTTCCTGTCTGATTTTCTTCCAAAACAGGGAATTGCCTCTGCTCACATCCTGGGCTCAAAGCCCTAGTGACACAGATTATTCAATCGGGGCACTGATGTCCGGTCTGACTTCCCATTCAGGCCCCAGGGTCTGAGCAAAGCCAGGCGGCAAGATTGCCATATTACAGTGATAACTGCCACGAAAACGGCAGCAAAAGGGACAGACAAGATATCAAAAGATCTCTTTCAGATTCAGGGAGGAGGAGAAGGACGTTTTGGCAGCTTGTTGCGTTGGAGAGTAAGGGCAAGGGTATAAATGACTCTGACCCCCTCTGCCTAATGATATTTGGATTCAGTTAAAACCACCAACGAGACTGGAAAGCAAACAAAATCACTTTTTGAACAAGATTTAAGGCTCATCACCTTGGGGCTCATTATTAAGGGTACACTGAACGCACCGTCAATGCCCCGACTAGGTTCTCTGCAGTGGGTGCTTATGGGGGCACCAGGGGAGATAGAGAAAAGCCATTTTGGGGACTCACCAAGTATGGGTGATCACTTTGGAACAAGGTATCCCTCTTCAGATCCCAAAGAGAGCCGTGTTTCCATTTTATCTTCTGGCAGGATCCACCCCTCCCGGGGAAGCCCACCCCAGCCCCTCCTGGCTGGCTGGCTTCTAGAGGCCAAGGCTACCGCCTTACCCGGGCAACTCTTGCTGCAGCCAACTTGGCTAGAGACTCCGCAGATCCTGACCGAGATGGGCTTCAGGTTGTAGTGGCCTTCTTTGTTAAGCCAGCTCCCTCTGAAGCCTGGGGGGGTGGGGGGTGGGGAGGCCGCTGCAGAGGGCAGACACCCCACCAGCACCTTTCTGGTATTTATAGACACAGAACGCATGCACAATCCTTCCAGTGCAAACCAGTCCGGCTGCTTTAGAAACAAGTTGTTTTTCCGCTTCCAGAACCACCCAGGAGCCTAAGCAAGGTCTCTTCCTCCCCCCCCCACCACTTCTCTCTGCAGGCGTCCTTGCCCCAGGTACCCCCACCCCCAGAACCTCAAGGCGCCCCTTCTGGTGGCAGTACAAGCTCCTTCTCTGACCCTAACAGGAGATGGATGGGCACAGGGGCACAAAGGCGCAGGCCCCGAGCCTATCAAGGCTGACCTCCTCCTTCCTGACCTTCGCACCTATTCCCAGAGCGACAACCCTCGCCCTCACTCTGGATTACTTGGAAGAGCCCAACCATGTTTCCGAATCCCTAACCTCTTTCAGAAATTAAGACTGATGGAGAGCAGGGGAAGAGGGGGAGAGGGCTCTCCCACAGGAACAGAGTCCTTGGATGTCGGGAGAGGCCCGTGGGTGCAAAAATTTGTTTGCCCACCACGGAGAAGTGAGGGGAGAGGAGGGAGGGATTTCTGGGAGAGGAGTTAACAGGCTCCTGAGAAGGGAGGCTGCAATTCCAGGAGCTTGTCTGGGGAAGATGTAGTGTGAGGAAAAGGGTTTGCCGGCTCTTCAAGCCCACTCCCCGGTCCAATTAAAAAAAGAAAGAAAGAAAGAAAAGAAAGAAAAGAAAGAAATAAAGAAAGAAAGTGGTGGGGGGAGAAGGGTGGGCAGGACAACACGAAAATCCAAAACTTGCAGTGGTGACCCTGTAGGAATTTTCTCGCCAAGCCAAAAATGGGAAAAGAAAGCAAAAGAGGCAGTGGCGGCGAGAGGAGGGCGGGGGTCCGCCCGCGCCGCCAGGTGCACCCGGGGCCCGCACCTACCTGCTGGCCGCCGCCGCTGGTGTAGGACTCGGCGTGCGCAGGAGAGCCGCTGCTGCCCCGGGACGAGGTGTCAAAGTTCCCGGGATAATCCTGGTACATGATCCGCGGTGGGGGCCCGAGAGGAAACAGGGTGTTTTTCTTCCCCCGCCCTCGCCGCGGCCGCGCACCGGCTGCTGCGCGCTCGCTCCCTGCCGGCCGCGCCTCGGGCTCTAGTCTTCGCTCCCGGGCTTCTCCCCGACGGTGGCGGGTGCGGACGGGAGGCGGCGACAGCCCGGGAACCGTGCCTCCCGAGCGCCTCGCGCTGCACTTCTTTCCTGCTCTCCGAGCGCCGCGGGACCGCCACCCGGTCCCTCCCTCTAAAAGTCCGCGCGTCCCTCGGTCCCTCCCCTGCGCGCGCCCTCCCGCTCCCGCGCGCAGCCGGAGCCCAGCCGGGACAGACCGCCCGATCAAAAACTGGAAATTAAAAAAAGAACAAGAGCCCGGCGGATCGCGCCTGCCAGGTCCGGGGGCCCCCCGATTTCAGACAGGGCAAAAAGAAAAAAAAGGCGAAAAGAAAGGCTGCCCGCCGGGAGAAACTTCTATTTCCTCCTTTTAGAAAAGGAGCTGAGAATAAACTTCCTGTGGCCGACTCGCCGCCGGAGTTTCGGAGCGGCTCGGACACTTGCGGGGAGAAGGTAGCCTGCGCCCGGGCCGCGGGGTTCCAGCCGAGCCGGCGCTGCGAGGGACGCGGTCCCGCTGCCCGTGCCGCCGCTGCGGCGCCCGACTGCACCCCTTCCCCGGCGCCTGCTCCCGGACGGGCCGCCTCGCCCGGCCGCGCCTCTCTCCCTCGCTCCCCGGCCCGCCGAGCGCCGCTCACTTGCTCGTCGCTTCGCTCGGAGCCCCTGCGCTCTGCCCGAGATGAGTCACTACAATGGCACGAGTTCAACTCCACACTCTTTATTCTCCAGCCCCTGTACCATGTGGATTCACTCACGTCAACCCCAGACTCCACCTTGCAAGGGAGGAGCGCGCGGGGAGGCGGGGGGAGGAGGAGGAGGAAGAGGCGCGGGAGGAGGCGGGCGCAGCGCT